GCACTCTCCCCTGGCATCAAGATAAAGCAGGCACCTGAATTTCATCAGCACAATATCCTCTCCTCCGGGCCTGAAGCATTTTCTCTGCTGTGAGCTGGAAGTCTTGCTGCAACACTGACACTGGGAAGGTCGCTCGTGTGCAGGGCGAAGTGAGAGGAGAGAGTTAAATGCTGCTAAAACTTTGGGAAGAATATTTTTAAAACTTCGTAAAGCTGGGGCAGTCGGAGCTGAGTGCTAAGTAACTCAATTTAAATCCAAATGACTCAGAGGTTCATCTCCCCTCGTCAGTGCTCCTGAAGTGATTTAACAGCTGTAACAGCAGAGGTTACTCAGAGGTTTAGAAAAGACACGGAGATAACAGAGAGGCATCCTTTAGATACCCTAAATCTTCACACAAGCCCCCCTCCCATTCAAGCAGCACTCCTGGCATCCTCCCAGCCCTGCTCCATCACAGCAAGGCCCACCGCAGCCCTCAGGTCATTTTGGAGACCTTCCTGCAGGTGCCTCAGTGGGAGGCAACACTCATCGCCCGAACATAAATCTGAACTCGCAGTGAAAGCTCTACCGAGCATCTGTTTGACCAAAAACCATAACCTCAAAACGCTTCCTCCCCACATGCCCCAAAGCTTCTACGTCCTTCAGGCCTTCTCAGGAGCTGTGCCATATCAAGGATGTATCTGTCTGTCCCCCCCGTGGCCTTTCTGCATCTCTCAGCTAAGCCTTGCCTCCAGAATCTGAAGTCACAGCCTTGGGCTGTCCCCCTGTTGGAAGGTCTCAGAGGGCCACATCTCCCTCCTGTCACCCACCACAGTTCCTCGCAGCACGGTCGAGCAAGCCACAGAGAAGAACCATCCCTGCACAGCATCCCAGCCCGGGGCTCAGGCTGCTATGGGTTGGGAACACTGCATCCTCCTCGCCTTGCGTCAGTAGAGGCTGGTCAACCGAGCGTCTTTCAGCAGCCCTAAATGCTTCTCAGATACTTCAAAGATATTTAAAGCAAGCAAGCAAGCAAACAAACAGGCTGGGAAACATAAAAGCAGAGTTCTTCTACCCCTAATTTATCCCAGGGTTCAAAGATTCTTGTGAAGAAAGCAAGCTGGGAATGGCACTGAGGATGCAGAGACCCACATTCAAAGCCACGCAGAGCTGATCACTGCCTAGGAAGGGGATGAGTTTCGTGTCTATACACTGGACTGCCCACCTCCTCACCCCAATAACACAACCTGAAGCACGGCTGCCTCTCACACAGGCTCCTGAAACCCAAGTGCAGACAAGCAGAGCAGCCTTGTGCCCCCCACTTCTTCAGCAGAGGCTGATTCTGGGGGAATATTCTACGATTTTAAGTCAGGCTCGCAGCCGAGTCCTTTCCTGCCCTCCAAGCTCGCTGAGCACAGCTGGGCAGTGGTGGCTGTGTACTGCAAACAGCACGGAAACCGTGCCAGGAACCAGCACACAACGCTCTGAAAGCCTCTCCGTGTGTGCCAACGCGTTGTAGAACACCTGCATCCCTCCCCACCTACACCCAGCTGCCAGGAGGTGCTGCTCAGCATCTCCTCACACTGCTGCTGCCATCAGAGCTGACAGCTGAGGCTGACACGCTGCTGAGTGTAAAAGAAAAGCAGCCCAGAGGCAGTTTGTCTTTTAGAGAAGCACTGAAAATCCTTCTGAGCTGGCTGGCCGGGGCTGCTCTCTGCCTCCTGCCCGACACCTCCATCCCTTTGGCAGCGGGTGAGCCCCTTCCCTGTGCTCCCTGCGGCTGGCAGGCAGCCCCCGGCCAGTGCCAGCCTCCAGAGGGAAGAGCTGACAAGGAGGAATTGAGGAGAGGAACGCTGCAGGGCAGCGATGTGCGCACACAACCTCAGCTAACCCACCTCGGTGCCGCAGCCACAGGCTGCTCGAGGAAGGTCCAGGTCGAGTGCCCCCAATTCGGTGGGGCACCAGGCACAGCTTGCACCCCGCTGAGCCTCAGCCCCGAGTAGCCCTGGTCGAGCAGAGCTGGCTGCGTGCACCCGGGGCACCCCCAGCACCAAACTCGCTGCTCTTGGTTGCTTTGACCTCTGCAACAAATCCCTCACGAGCACAGCCAGTTCCATTTTCTCCAGCAGCAACAGCCTCCCAGTACCCAGTTCTTTACTTGCAGCGTGTGAGAGGGCAAGACCACTTTTCAGGGCCATGTATTCGTGCGTTCGGAGAAGCAGACACAACCTCTGTTTATTTGCTTCGTGTTTTAGCTCCTCTCCAGCTTCGTCTGGTTTGTTGCTTTAAGCTCTCCCTGTTTGCAATTTCTTCACAAGGTCGTTGCTTTCACAAGACTTTTGTAGCGCTGCCCCACTTCCCTGGCCTCCAGCTCTGTCTTCTGACATCCAACTGCTCTCAGAATATTAATTAAATCACAAAGAGCTCAGCAAGAGGAAGCCAAAACAGCCGAGGAAAACACCAGACACTCCTTCCTCCCCCAGGCTCCGGGTGGAGGACAATGCCCAAGGACTCGGACACAAGCGACCTGTGAAGGACATCCCCGCCTGATGGTTTGGGGTTTCTCAGCCAGCTGGATGGATTTTCCCAGAACTGAGATTTGCTGTGAAGCTTCATTCTACCTGCTTGGTGACATTCGTGTGTTTTATACCACGCCTCCCCTACCCGATGCTGTTAGCATCCTTATGAATATGCAGCCATTTTACAGCCTTAAGCAGGGAAAAAAAAATCTGAAAGCTCTTCTCACCGTGACATCAAAAGGCACGCCTGGTTCAGAAGGCAACTTGAATCTCAACTGTCTCACCTGCTTCCTATTACAGGAGCAGATGTTCCTCTTGCTGTAAATTGCTGCTATTAATAAAATAAATAATCACGCTTTTCTAATCATTTAATAAGTGCACAGGAGGGTACCAAAGTGCCTGGCAGCCATAAAATAGATCTCCCTTCTGAAGGGCTCAGAGACACGTCAGTGGCCTCTTTTATCCTCCACTGGGGTTCAGAATGGCAGAGATGAAGTCAGAATGAGAATTAGGGAGAAACCAAGGGAGCCAGGCTCCTCTCTCCTGCACAGCCACCTTCTCTCCAGATCTGTGACAAGGACAGCACCTTTCCCCCCGGGATGCACACACCAGAGCCAGCCACGTGCAAAGCGCTGCGACACTCCGTGCCCCTGCCCTTGGCCCTGCTCTGCTTCCCTCTCCCACACAGCGAGCCCCGGTTATTTGTTGGTTTTCCTTCAGAGAACATTTCGTCCTGCTGCTGACAACAGCCCCGACCTCGGGAACATCAGCAAGGGCACCGTGGATTCACGAGGCCACTGTGACCTCCAGCCAGCTCTGCCCCGAGCAGGGCAGCTCAGCCCTCGCCTGCTCTCCGTGACCACACACGGAATTCCATATTTCTCTCTCAGGGGAGAAAAAACTCACTCCTGGCTCCAGATGTTACCAGCACAGCCACATTTGGATCACTGTGGGGAGCGAGCAGCCCACGGGCCACACAGAGGCAGGCTCTGATCACCAAGTCTCACCTGCAGAGTTCAGCTCAGGGACCAAAAGTCTGTTTTCCTCCTGCACCCCTCATTCCCCAGCCGGTGGGATCTGGCACCCACATTGACTCCTTTCCTCCATGCTTCTCTCTGGCCTAGGAGCAGCACCAAGGTTCATTTCCTGACCCCCTTTCAGAGCAAAAATAATTTGCCAGAGGGGAACCTCTAACAAGGTGCCAGGTCTCAGCAGAAGGCACTAGCTAATAAATTCCCCAGCAGTTATAGAGATGGAGCTGCCGTGCAGAAGGAGGTTGGTTCAGCTGTCGTGGCCCTTATGGCCTTTGTGGAGACTGAACTCAGCTCTGCAGCTCCTGATGAGGCACGGCAGGGCACTCTGGCTCCTCATCCACAGCTCGATTTCTCAGGAAAAGCCTTAGCACCGACGTAGCAGGCTACAACTTCAGGATCAATGCACAGAGCAAACCCTCGCAGGCAGCCTTTCGCCCTCCCAGAGCACCTGTGCCTCAACCAGGGCATCATCTCTGAGCGAGCCTTCCCAGCAGGGAGAGAACACACCGCCTCAGAAGATGCGTCTGCACTAACAAGGTCATATTTAATCAGCCCGCACCTCCTGGGATGCAATTTCATCTGTGTAAATTAATAAGGCTGTCCACAGCTACGGGAGAGCCGGCTGGAAGGGCCCCATGCCAGGCACCCACAAACGTCCGTGGTGGCAGGCAGACATTTGGGGACAGGCAGATGGTCCCCGAGCAGGGGACATGGGGCTGGCAGCGTGGCTTCTCCCTGGGGAGCAGAGGCAGAACAACCCCAGTGGTAAATATTTTGGTAAATAAAGCCATTTGGTCTGCCGTGACCGAGCCTTGTAACACCTTTGTTTCCAGAGCACCACTGCAGGTGTTCTGGGTATGAGACAGCACCCAGTGCGCCGATGCTCACAGCCTGCCTTCAGCTCGTGTTGGAGGCTCGTTCCCTGGGTGCTCATCAGACTGACAGCAGCCCCAAATCCCTGCCAGTCACCTTTTGAAAGCTCCCTCTATCAGTCAAATCAGTTAAAAGGGCCCTGCAGAGCTTCAGAAGAGACAAAAGCTGGTTCGCTGCTTGGAACGTGGGATTTCATTCCTAATGCAGATCAACTCCGTTAACTCACTCCGTGCCCTCCTTGGGGTAGATCCTTCCCCGTCCTTGAAACTTACACGGAGCAGGAGTGGAGAATAAGATGCTGTTCGTGGTCCTTTGTCAGAGCAAGCATTTCACACCAGATGTATGCAATAATGAAGGGTTCTGCTGCGAAATCACAAGGGAGAACCGGGCCACAGGGATTCACTGCAAGGGTGTGCCAAAAACCCCTTGTCCTCACATTCTTCTCCCTGCAAACGTACTGCAGCCTCCTTTCTGGGAAAGGCACCCGATAGCCTCATCTCCCTCCAGCATTCAGATTCCCTCCCACTTGCCAACACCTCCCACTCCCCGTGCACCATCCTGCATCTTTCACAGCGCCAGCAGGAGCCCGGACACTCACCTTGAGCTTCGTAGCCGGAATAATGCTGCACTGTGCCCACGTCCTCCTCCCCGGGGCCCAAGCCGAGGGCTGACCTGAGCTGGGCCATGTTCACCTGGGCCGTCAGCTCCCCACTCCTGTCCCCGATCTGCAAAGCCAACAGGCAGCTGGTTAAAAGTGAGCATGGGCTAAGGAAACTGTCCCTAGAAAAGGGCTCACCAGTCCCATACCAAAGCAAACACACAGAGAAGAGAGCTTGGAGACACCCTGAGAGATCATTCAAGCCTGGATATTCAACACCACAACTCTCCAAAACCACTTTTTGGTGAGAATCTCAGGGAGGGTCCATGCACGGTGTGCTGTGTGCCTGCTGCACCTCAAAAAGCATTTCTGCAGAGCTCACTACAGTGACCCGAGGGGACACGGCTCGCCTGCTGCTACAGAACTGGGATAGAGGCATACACACATAATAAATTAATACTAACATTGAGACAGTCCAAATTCCTGTATTTGCTTTATTTTTGTCTTCAGAAGTCCCGTCTCTCACCAGCCTGAAGGAGCTGAGGGCAGATATTGAGGAATCTTCCCAGTGGCTCCTTTTACTTAAAATGGGGATTTGTAGGACGTGCTGCTGGGTGCCCCTCAAAGGTTAACACCAAGCATGAAAACGACTGCTCTGCATATCGCCAGCAGACACGGGGAGGTCACTGAGAAGCAGCCTCTAATCTTTAGAGAAACAGCAGCCTCTGCTAGAGGGAGAGACCTTGGCTGTTCCCTGGCTCCCTGTTAAACGCCTTGCAACAGCTCTTTTGTGGTCCTCTGAGATAGACTGCAGCGCGAGCCATCCCAGAACAAAATCATAAATCCCCACATTATTTATGACAAAGCCCCAAGCACCAGTAAAGGGAGGCAGATCAAACAGCTTATCATCAGGCATAAATCCCCTGCCAATTACAAGAGATTTGCTGTTGACATCATCTCCAGTGAAATTACCATGTCCTGGTTCGGTTTCACAGCCCTTGATGTTAAATGCTTCCCTGATTTCCACTTGTTCGAGGTTCTCTCCAAGGCCTGATTACCCTCAGAGGAACCCTGGCAGGACAATCAGAGCCCCTACCACACACCACAGCAGGGCTCTGCTTTCTGCCCTCGGCTCGGGTGCCCCCGTTTCCCCAGAAGCCCCCCACCACAGACACGAGAGGTCCTGCAGAGCAGTGGCTGCGAGCCGGGGCAGCCTCCGAGTCTTCCAGGCATTTATCTTTTACTCAGGCTGTTTCAGAAGAAATTTTGCAGCAACCTCTGAGCACCCTGCAGCAGCTTCCCATGTGCTTACTCGGATTCAGATGTCACCGTCAGATTTATGTCAGGGCATAGAAACATCAGTGTGCAAAGGTTTAACTGCTGCAGGATTTTCTTGGACAAAGTGCTGGTGCTGCTCACAACAGCACAGGCGACTAACTTCATTCCCGAGGCTAAAATAAAACAGTTTTTAAGAGAATCACTAGCTGCTAGAAGCTGACACGAGCCCTCCCCACAAACGGACGCGGTCTCTGCACCACTCCGTAATTAAGGATGTGGGGGAGTTTATCAGCCACCTGCCATGAGTAACCTACTCCTGACATGCTCTGCAATCACAGCCATCACCTCGGGATGGGAACAGTGCTGTGAGCCCTCCTGCCCGCCCCGGCTCTCCCCTCCGCCCCCAGCAGCCACCAGTCACTGCTCCATCCCTCCCATCACCACCACGCGCACCCGTCCGGCTCCCAGTAACCAGCCCCACACTGCCACAGCGCTGGCAGACTGAAAACCCGAAAACTGGAAAAGTTAATTTGTCCTAAGATGCTCAGGGCCAAAGAACAGCGTTCCTCCTGCATGTCTGATAAGTGTAATTAAGCGCATCATTAGGCCGGTGTGTCAGCCCTGCTCCGGGATCCAGCCAGCCTAAAGACAGGCAGGAGAACACACAGCGCCTGCATGCAGTCATTTCAATTAGTGCTTCAAAAGGGCAATTTCTTCATCCGGGGAACTTTAAAGAGACCACAAATAACTTCCTCATAGCACACTGGAAAGAGCAAACAACGGCCTTCCTGCTTGCTGAACATCTGAGCCATCCGAAAACGCCTCATGTTTTTGTACCTGGAAAGCTGCAGCTAGCTGGGCAAGCACACGTGAAAACCAGAGCAGCTGGAACCCCAAATGGTGACTGTGGCTATTCCTCACCCAGGAATACCAGTTACTAGCAACGAACAGCAAATGCATTAGCCTTAACTAAGTGGAGGCCTGGGAGCACCTCATGAAATGAACACTTCCCAGCAGTTCCTGAAGACAACACTGAGACAGCACGAGGGCAGGCACTTTCTACAGCACTCATAGCTAGAAGAACTATATCCAATTAACTTCTTGGGATAAAAATCATGTCTTCCTCAGCAGGGAGGACTGATTCTGACCTGAACCAGCTTCTCATACCTCTTGGGAGATTTCAAGATGCTTCCTTGCAAAGTGCAGAGCTTGTTCATGGCTCCCCAAGGAGACGTAGGCATTTCCGAGACTCCAGCAGGCTCTTCCTTCTCCCACCCTGCAAAACAGGAAGCTGTCAACCACAGAAATTCTGGGCAAAACCCAGCACAGCAACCCTTTCACGGCCTCCTGCTCCGGAGCACCAAGAGCCAGACCTCCTAGCTAAATTTACGTTTACAGAGTGCTCTGCAAAGGAAAATGAAATGCACTGTATACCTTAAACGACTCTTATGCTGAACTCAGTAAGATCAGGGGATGAGCAAGAGCCTCAGAAATGGGCCTGTAGCCACAGCAGCAGACAGTTGAGCCATGTAGCACAGACCCAAAGCGGTCTGACTTTATTTGTGAGCGCCAGACTGAGAGCAGAAGTGAGAGCTCCCATCGAGCCTCCACCCCACACAGCAAGGCTTCTCCTCCAGAGACACACGGTGCATCAAGAGGGCCAGCAACATCCAGCCTGCTCCTCCATAACAGCCCAGAGCTAAATTAGCAGGAACGTGGCAAGGAGAAAACACTCTGGGGATGCAGTATTTTCCTGATATATACCAGCAGGTCACCCAGGATGCACGCACAGACTGCACGCAGCAGCCAAGCAAGCATTGACCTATTTCCAGCAGACCTCCAGGGCACAGCTTCTTGTTTTCAGATGCCAGAGAAAGCAGGCAAATGTGAAACCTGCCCCGGGCAGCCCCAGCCCCTGAGCACAGCCAACCTGCACCAGCCCCACAGGTGGCTCTGGAGCAGATTTCAGCACCTGCTTGCAGAAGCAGGCAGAGACCTAGCGCTCAGAGCCTGCTTAGCTCTGCAAACGTGCAGATGTGGGGGGTGAGGGGATAAAAAAAGCACATGGGGGCGCAGGGGGAGGTTCAGCGTGACTGCAACTCCCTTTTCAGAGGTTTGGGCGGGTTGATCAGCATTTAAACATTTTTCTTGTCACCCAATTCAATACCTTCTGCTCATGGGGTGTGTTCCCAGAAATGCAGGAGCCCACAGGCCTGCACCCCCACAGCATGATTCACCCTTGGGTGGGATTGTACCTTCCCAGAGCAGTTAATGCCCTGACAGTGCCACGGAGCTCGCATTTTAATGCCTCTGCTCCATCTAGTGGAGGACACCCGGCTTCCCAAGAGCCAGCAGCAGCAATGCTGAACAAGTGGGCTGCAAAGTCACTTAATGAGCTCCTGGGAGGCTCCAGCAGTAATCCAGATAGAGAGGAAAGAGGAGAAAGGAGCTAATGGCAAAAAAATGAAATAAAGGTAGATGAAGAAATAGAGAGAAGAGAGACTGAATCTCAAAGATGAATGATGAGACCAAGGAGCAAAATATATCATCTCCGCATGCTCTGTGTGATGTGTGATATCATTTATTTCTTCGTGAAAGTTCCCAGCCCCACCTCAGAGCATCAGGACAAGGTGACACGCATGTCCTATCTGCATGATTTCCAAAGCAGCAGCAATTTTTGTGATGTAAGGGGGCTTTAGGGAGGCCCCAATGGGACAAAACAGCAGTAGCTGCATGGCAAAGCATTTTGTGGATACAATTCATTTTCCTGAAGTACATCTCACTAGGAATCTCTCTCAGCCCAGACAGACATAGCTTAAAGGGCTATCACATAGGATAAAGGCCTCACTCATATTACTTTTCTGACCCATGGCTGGACTAAGGCCTGGGTCCTGAGAGATTTCTGAAGGCTTTCAAGAATACGTGTTGCTGCTCTTTAGTGCTGGAGGTGGAGAACAACAAATCCACACAGAAGAACTGGTGCTCTGAGCCCACCAGAGCGAAGATGCCACCCCCTCAGGCACTCCCTTACCTGTCTCCCAGCTCCTGTGCTATCACCAGGTGTTTTAGATGGTACTCGATTGCTCTTTCATAGTCTTGAAGCAGCGTGTACGTGTTCCCAAGACTGTAGCAAGCCTGGGCTTCTACTGCTTGGTCTTTGAGTTGCCTGGAGAGCTGGAGTGTTTTCCTGCACGGAAAGGCAGAGATGAAGAAACCTGATCATTGTAGGGCACCTCCACGAGGCAACAGGAAAGTCCCAGTTTGGTGTGCACTGTGCTGGGGTTTATGCCTGCTACACACTGCAGGCTGGCTGGCAGGTGGCAGCATCACTTGCCACTGCTGAGCACCACACAGGCAATTTGCCACCAGGACCCTTTTCATGTTCCCCTGAGCCTGTGAACTCACTGCAATAGGTGGGAATTTCCAGGGAACGTCTGCCGGAGTCTGCAATAACCCCAGCACTTACTTGTAGTACTCAGCAGAGATGTCAAACCTCCCGAGGAAGATGTGCGCGTTGCCCAGGTTGCTGTACGCCCTCCGCTCGGCTGCCTTGTCCCCAAACTCCTTGGCAATAGCGAGGCGCTGCAGCAGACACAGACAGTGAGTACAGGCTGGCTACTGCCAGGTTTCTGGTACACAACAACTCTTCTGGGAGATTAACTTCTTGTTTTGCAAAGTTCACGTCCAACAAGGTAAGGGTGCCCATGCCTACTGGGGCTAGATGCAGCAGGAAAGCTCTCCATCTTTTGCACTTCAGGCATCAGAAGGACCTTTGGAAAAGTGGGAGCAGAGCTGCATCCTCTCCACTCCTACTCCAGCCTGGTCAGTACGCATCTGTTCAGCTGAAGTGCAAAAGGAGCTGTGTGTACTTCAGCTGAATCAACAGGAGAGTGGAGAGCTCGAGGTCAGGGGAAGGGATGCAGGATATCTACAGACTGTAACGACCAGGAGCACGAGCACGTCTGTCACAGAATGAACACACACACATTTATGAACTGCACCTCACCTTCTGCACTGCAGCTGCTCCCCAGGCTCCTGTCCCTACTGTATGTCCATCCTGCCTCTCCCCTGACTCCCCACCTCTCACTTTGCAGCACCTGCTCCCTGCTACTGCATAATTTTCCTGCCCCTTTTGAGTGCCTTCTCCAAAATGACTGCTGACTGCTGCCCCCAAGCCTTCTCACACAAACAGAAGAGCTGTGACAGCACCTGACATCCCAAGGTGCTCAGCACCCTCCGCTTTGAGGAAACCACTGCAGACTCCAAACTAGAAACCAAATTGCATTTGAACTGGGGCAGGGACTGTGTCATCTCGCCCCTCTGTAAAGCTTTGCAGAAAGTAGCTATGTTCTACAAACAACAATTATTCCTGATCAGCAGCTCTTTCAGCAGCTTAATTAAATTCATGGCTTGCATTTATTAAAATTTACACTGACACAAATTAAGCACAGAAAAGCCTTGCTAGGCCCAGCTGCAGTTTGCCCTTAGAAATCTCCTTTGGTTTCCAAGCCAACAGCACCCTTCCCTCAAGTCGCTCGTTAAGCACTGATGAGGAAGGCAGGAAGGTGCTGCTCAGCAGGAGCTAGCACAGCACAGCACGGGCAGGATCTGGAGCACACACAGGAGGGAGTAAAACAGGCAGGGGGGTAAAACACCTCCCAGTATTTCCTGGGAGGTGGTGAGAAGAAAGCAAGGCTGCTCCCTACCAGGTACCCAGCCCCAGAAGAACCTGAAGCAGTTCCCTACCTCCTTGTGGAAGGCGATGGCTTCAGTGAAGTTGCCCAGTAAGTACTGGGTGTTGCCAAGGTTGCCGTAAGCACGGCCCTGTGCAGCTCTGTCCCCCAGCTCCTTCACCAGGGACAGGTTCCTCCTGAAAGAAATCAGTGCTAGATCTTTACAAGGACAGAGATAATCCCCAAGTTTTTCCCTGCCCTGCTAGAGGTAGGGACAAGATCCTCATTGCCATGCCAGTGTTCTTCCCTGCACTTCTCTACACGTTTTTCCCCCCCTTTTCATGTACAGCACACACGGGGAAGCACAGAGCTCCCAGCTGGCACAAACGTAATCACCAGCTATGCAATATTCATCGTTCTTTGGGAAAAGGCCAGTGAGCTATAGATAGGCACCATCACATCCTCAGATATGAGGAGACCAATGTAAGATCCTGACACTTCCTCCAGATAATAAAAAGAGTACTTTAAAAAGCTTCATTATTGGAATAAAACTCCAAGATAAGAGAAGAAAAACATTAGCCTGAAAGCAAGTCTGGCAACAGCCTTCCTGTGTGGGACACCAGTGGGAACTTTGCGACTGTTTAGGAAAGGGAAGGATGTTAGAGCAGGATGAGCTGCAGATCCATCAAAAGGATAACCAGGACTTCAGGGAAAAGCCTCTTCCCCTGGGGGAAGGAGCAGCTCTGCCGTGGCTCCAGCAATGCAGATGCACAGGAATACATTTTCATCAAGGCCAGCAGAGAGCAGCAGGGGCTCCAGGAGCTAATAGTTCACCTTCCAAATATAGCTCTGAGAAGGAACAGGCTATTGAACTTTGGTGCGTGATCATACTTCAAAATATAAAGACTTTTATTAAGGCAATACCAGGATGAATTTCAGCTCTAATTTTATAAAAGCGTGCGGTCCCTCTCTTGCCTTCCTTGAGACAAATTTGATACCATACCTTGGCCTCCCAGGGGCGGGGGAATATTGATATTGTTGATAACATCTTCTCAAGAATGATTTTTTGCACGCTAAGAGGGGAACAGACAGCTGCATGCAGCTTTGGCCTGAGAGAGGCAATTCTGGCGCAGCTTTGCCCCTGTAAATGATATAATTTCCACATCTCTGCTTGTTCGCACGCAGCAGCTCCTGCCAGAGTACCAAACTGCCCTGTGCCCATGGCTCTTGGCTTACGGATGAACATGCTGAAAGTAACAGCGGCTTGCACACTTTCCTAAGTTACACCCGGTCAGATGAATAACAGAGCGTGCAGGCTCCTAACCTTCCTGGGTTGCAAAATCAAATGCACTGGCTCAGACTGTCAAAATAACATGATCCAGAGCATGGGATTTATACCTCTCCTGCCCGTTTACTACAAATACCCAGATCCCCAGCATTATCCTATTTTACACATTCGCTCTGCGTGGTGGAGGAATAACAAAGCAGGAATTAAAGAAACGCAGAGTCTTAAGGGAAAACTGAACTGTTTCATTATAGGAAGCAAAGGGGTTTTACAATTTCAGATCCTTCAAATACACAAAGTAACAGTAGGCAATTAATTTTTAGAGATGCAGACAGCCTTTTGCTGAAGGCTCCACAAGTGAACCGTACAAGTGCACTTGGATCTAATAAAGGTGCACCTGTGTGCATTTTACCAGTCACTGATGACTGTTCCCTGCAGGACAAAGGGGTGGCCGAGCTTCAATACTTACTCGTAATATTCTGAAGCTTTCTGTAGAGTCTCCTTGACGTCTTGTGGCAGGTAGCCTGGGTCTTGGGCCATGTTCCAAGATAAATGCTTTCCCTTTGCATGGTAAACGTTTCCTATATTATAGAGCGCTCTGGCTTCACCCACCTGAAAGGAGCAAGAAGAGGTGTTACACTTCCCATCCCCGTAGAGAGACAGTCAGCCAAAGCCAGGAAGCCCACATTTTCCTTCCCCACCACCACCATCATACAGCTGTTATTGTCAGTAATGCAGCCACAAGGCAGAGTTTGACACTTCACCTCCTCCCAGAGCCCACCTCTACCCTTTCACATCTTCTGGCTTGCAGATGGATCAATTTTCAAGGTAGGAAATATTTCCTGTTGGATGCCATGCAGCAATTACCTTGTCTCCCTGCTCCTGGGAAATGTCCAAATGTCTCTGGCAGCAAACAACAGCTTCGTCAAACTGCCCGAGTATTTTCAGTGTGTTCCCGAGGTTGCCACTTGCCTTGGCTTCTCCAATGCGGTCCCCAATGGTTCTACAAGAAGGTCAAAGAGAGGGAAAGAGGTGTTAAAAAGCTCACAGACTTTTATTCCTTAACTGTTGGAGGCAAAATTCAAGTGACAGTGAGCCAGGACAGACAGACACCCCATCTAGCTGTTCCCAGCCCATTCTCATTTCCTCCTGAGTTCTCCACAGGAGGGTCACCCCAAGCCCCAGAGCTGGTTTTGGATGCTCATTTCTAGGGCAGGGTCCTTAAGTTGGGCTCAGACCCCACAGAACTCCTCTTTCCTCAGACTGATCAGGATGAGGCAGTGCCAGTACGCTTACCTGGCCAACGTAAGGTCGTGCTTATGGTACTCCAGGGCCTTGGAGTACTCCTTTAGGTAGAAATAAGCATTGCCCAGCTGGCTGTAGATGGCACTGAGAGTCTTCAGGTCCTCCGTTCCCACCTGCACCGCTGCTTCGAAGAAGGCTGCCCCTGCTTTGAAGTCCCCTGCCTTGCACAAGCGCTCTCCTTCCAGGGCCAGCTCCAGGCAGGAGGCCTCCATTCTGCAAAAGCAAGATGGCGATTTTAGAGGCGCCAGGCTGCAGCCACACGACGGTTAAAGAGATCCTTCAGCGTGTATCTGAAATTACTGCACCTGGAAAAGCTATCAGTGCAGTGCACGTCTGCACCTCCAGAGGCACAGCGAGCAGCCTGAGCCCAAAGCCCAGCTAGATTTCAGCGTCTACCATCAACATTTGCAGAACTACCATGACATTTAGGAGTAAGTCATTTTCTGAGTGGTGTCCACAGCAAGTCAAACCGTGCGTGGCTCCAGCAGACCAGCTTCTAAATCACCAGGCTGATTTTGTCCGTTTTGGCTCTACCTTTTGGGCAGCGAGAAGGGAAATATCAGAGAGCAGAAGACCCTCTGCAGACAAGGTCCATAACCATAGGGACTGAATGACTACTGAGCCTGCTTCCCTGGCAGCTTACCTCCCTCTAGAAGGGGCCAAGTCCACGAACACCCAGGCTGGGGCTCTGCCTGCCCTTCCCAATCCTCCCTCGGGGCAGCCACTGCTTCCCCTGGGCTCCAAGAGGCCATATAACACCTCCGGGCTGTGCAGCCAGCTGCTCATGCACATGGGACAGGAGCACCCAGATTTACCCTACCAGTGGCCACCAGCAGCCTCTGGGCTACTGGTGGGACCTGGGAGAAGGAACTCGTGCCTCCTGCCTCTCCCATCACGCGCCTGCAACCCTCAGCGTGGCACGGCATCTGTTTTTCTTCGAGGTGGCGCACAGCGCAGCAGCCACAGACCCGAGCCGTTCGTGCCTGTGCCATTTCCCTGGGGTAACGGAGAGGGTAGCCAAGTCGCAGCACGTTTTTATTGGATACCAGAGAAAAGCCTGGGCTGTGCAGAATTTCTTGGCGGAGCAGCTTCCAGCGCTCCGCGTCTGCTTTCCATTAACTCCCCGTCTGTCACTTTTTCCACCGGCGCTCTGCACGTTGGCCTGCAGGCGAGCTGTTCCCCCTCGCATTTCTCAACGCCTTCGGCAGTGGCGCACGCCGTGCTGCTGGCACAAAGCTCTGCGAGCCAGAGGGGGGGAGCAGCGATGCCACCGACACTGCCTCAAGGGAAAAATGCTCCACCAAGCCCTAAGTCACAGCAGGCGCTGTAAGATTGCAGAGCCACGCGTCCATCAGCTCTCAGAAGGGACAGAGCACGCCTTGGAAAGCTGGTGTTTGGAAACATCTTGCCTGTTGCAAAGTCGGTCCCTCCGCGAGGTGGATGGACACGGCGTGTTCCTGCTCCTCCATGCAGCGCCTTCCCCTTTGCTCTTTTCTGCTTCATGTATTTTAAAACGTCAAACCCAGAGAGGTCAGAGGCAGGCAGCTGCTCACTAAAATTACAGCTCACTTGTCCAGAGGCAGAAAGCACGGGTCAGACAGAAGATGACAAACATCCAAAGGAGGTTTTTATCCTGCTTTGCAGTGAAAGAGCACTGCAGGAAGCTCGATTGCACTACACAGCCCAGGAGAATGATGTGCCCACCCTCGCTGCCCCGATGCCTCCTGCAGCAGTTTCCCCTTGAAGATGCCTCCCCCAGAGCCACCCTTGCAACCACCCCAGCTCTCTCCCCAAGGACACAACCTGCTGCCACGCACCCCTCGCACACAGGGACTTCGGGGCAGAGCTCCTCCTGCTCCAGGACCCTGCTCCAGCATCTTCTGCCCAAGTCAGCAGCACCTTCGCTCTGCAAGAAGGCTGCTGCTGTGCAGCATCAGGCCCTGCCTTGACTCCCCCTAGATACAGGAAAAAGCTAAGTGTTGATGGTTTAAACTAAAAATATTCAACTCCTCTCTACTGATCCTCTTGCCAGGCCACATGAAAACGAACAAGAACCAGCTTCTGCTACAGTGAGTTGAATTAGAGGGGCCCGTCTGGGGATCGCACCAAACTCCCAGCAGTTTAAGGAGCTTCTGTGGCCTGCAGATCATCAGAGCAGACACCTGGTGTCATTAGCAGGCACTGACAGGCACCTGCCGATGTTCTCCAAATGGCTGAAAGAAGGTTTGGGCCTGGAGAAAGACAGAGAACAGCTTATACTGAAATCAGCAAAACTAAGTTCAAGAAACTGAGCAGAGATGAGTCTTGAAAGGACTTGAAATGGGGGATTGAGCTGCTATCATGGGGACTAACGTTGGGGTCCAGTTAAAAGACTGCAGACGGAGAAGCACATTTTGTATAATTCCACATTTCAACAAAGTTCTTCCCAATAACCAGGTTCTCCTTAAGAGACTGAGTTCACCAGCTGTAAACAGCCTAAAACTGCACTGAGCTCAGTGTGCCCGATTCACAGCATCGCAGCCACGTACAGACCAAATTTTTTAATGCGATCTGGATAGCAATGGTCACACAAAATGCCCCGTGGCAATACAGCTCAGCTCGAGGATCAGCATCTTGTTCTGACTACCTTTTATCAGTGGAAGTGTCACCAGAAGTGAGGCTCGTGCACTGACACACGCACACACACGTGTGCACTCCGCGGGGCTCCCACCGTCACCGCTCCGGCACAGCGTGGTGACACGGCCCCAGCGCATGCTGCCTGGAACCAAAATCCGTTTGTCCTTGGCCAGGCTGCTCTGCAGAGCATCTGACTTACCCGATTACCATCACGGCTCAGCCCGGGACCTGAGCAAGCAAGGGGAGGGGAGAGGCGGCTTTTTCCCTCAGCCAAGCCTCCGCTGCCATGCGGAGGGACGAGAGTTGGGGACAGGAGTTATAACTGGAAACACAACCCACTCGTAAAACCTGCCTGCCCTTCCCACATCCTCAGGGAAGCACCTCTACGTGCAATTTAGTCACCACAGGCTTAGCAGTGCTCAGAAACAACACGAGGGGCAGAGGAGGCAGCTGAAGGTTCAGCAACAAACACAAGCACACCAAATCGCTCCACGCACAACAGCTGCTCGTGGCTACAGCTCAGCTGTCTGGAGGAAAAGACAAGCAGGGCAATTTGGGCAGGAAGAAGACAGGAATCCACTGAACAAGAGAGCCAAATTGAACCGATCTTGCCAGACCCTGGCAAAGGAAAGCCGTGAGCAGAGCCAGCCTCGAGTCAGAGCTCCGCTTCCTCCCACAGGAAGCGCCTGAGCCCTCTCCTACCTCTTCTTCTGCAGGTTGCGCATTTTCTGAACGTACACCCACAGCTCCAAGCCCACGGGCAGAAGGAAGCAGCGGGGCTGAGGTCTGCTAGGCACGATTTTGCAGACTGCTCTTGCTGTTAAGTTCACAGCTGAGACCTGGGGTTTGGAAGATGCTGACGGCATCTTCACGTTCGGACGACGCGCGCTGCTCTCCAGTTTTCACTCCATCCACTTGGGCAGCATCACCAGTAAGCTGCTGGGATCTTGAACTGCATTTATATGGGATGCTTCTTTTTCTCCCCTGTATGCTGCCTGTGAAAGGGAAGGGGAAAAAGGAGTGCTGCTTTTATTTCAAAAGACCTGCAGAAAGCACTGTCCTCTTCCCTCTGAGAAATCCTTCGTCATCTGTTACTTTCAGGTACCAGAGAGGTGAGTCCATGGCTAAAACTCCAGAAACAAGTGTCTTGGCTTATTCACATATTTTCAGCACTTTCCAAAGAAGAAAACGGGCTCAAAACGAGATGGTCAGGGTCAAAGGCATGCATCTTCCTCCTTTCTGAATCGATCTCTTCCCAAAGCTCTTCACCTCTGTGGTCACAGCGGCTGCTCCTGCTGGTGCCTCCTTGGCTGCTGTCGTGAGATGCCTCTCCTCGTCAGGAAGAAAGCTCAGGGCTGCTCCAGAGCAGGGTTGTCTTTGGCCAGAAGCACACAGTCACTTGACAGACCCCAAAGAAGCTCTGCAAAGTCCACAAACGATCCAAGCAGTTCCTGCTTGTCCCCAGTCTGCGAGAGGCAGACGCATGGAGCACGCGCCTGCCCGCTGAACCAAAGCCTCCCAAAGCCTCCCCACCCGGGCAGGCACAGCCTTCTGTCCCCCTCACCCCACCCAAGGTATTAAATTTCTCTTCTGCTGACACACAGGCAACACGCCTGGGCCTGCACCACCTCAGCAAGCACCTCTGCTCACGCCTTAATACCAGGAAAGAGGATTCCCTCCCTCCTGAGCCAGCAAATCGCTGCCGACAGGCTGAAGGTGCTGGGCTTGGCCATATGGCGTGGCTCAGGAGGGACGCTGCAGGACACGAGCTGCTTTTCTTCCTTCCACAGCCACAACGCCGAAGCTGGAAAATGCAATTCCCCCACCACACAACCTCGCAGCTAACGGCGCTGCGTGTCCCCAGCTGGGGGGTTGAGCAAAGATATGGGAGAGAAAAATAGAAAGAAAATAAAATTCACTTGGAGCAGCCCTTGCTTGTAAGCATTGCCCTCAGTCTGTGCAAACCACCCGTGCAGATCTGCATGTTGCTGCAGCCAGGCAGGACTTCAGGCACTGGCAGGATTCACAGACAGACTCCAAGCCCACCACAGGCAGCCAGGAGGCTCTGACATCCCCCTGAAATGCACAGGTCCCAGACCAGGACAGGAGCACACCATGCAGAGCAAAAGGTGTGTGTGAATGCAGGGAGAGTCAAGCCTGGCCAGGTGAAAATAAAGCGTTAAAGATACCAGTTGTAACGCAAGGATTGATTAAAAGCAGCGAGAGGCCAAAGATAAGCCTCATGTTTGGCCACAGACGAGTTAGGCAATCTGCACAGCGTTCTGCCAGGGGAAGGAGTGAATGGCATCGTGCTGGCAGAGGACTCGGCCCCCATCAAAGCTGCAAATTTCACAGATGGGAGCGGGCGCTGCTGCCGACACACGCTGGAGGGTGACCCCGCGCCGTGTGGGGACAATGCAGCACACGCAGGGCCACCCTCCCTCCTCCTGCACGTCTTCTTTGAAGGATAACCGTGATCTGAAGGCAGAAGGAGCCGAGACGACCAGGAAGGGCTGGTACTGCCTTAACGATGAGATTTCTCAGGGTCATTCATCACTGTCAGACAGCAGCTAATGACGGCGCAGTAGCACGATTGCCTTGTGGCTGCCTTGGAAGCTACTGAAAGAATTAGAGAGCAAAAAATGTGCCTTTACAAAAGGTGCACAGCCGAGACACAAGGACTCTTATGCAGCAAATATTTTCAAGCAACACAGCAATAAGGAGAAGGCAGCGAGGGTCCCAGGAGTGCTGGGGATGCTGAGAACACTGCCAAGAAAGAAACAAAGCAAATGGCACGGGGTGTTATCAGTGCTATTAACAACAATCACCGTGACTGCTGTCAAAACAGCACTATATATAGGACTTCTGTGATGATACAGGTCCCCAGAGGGGAAACACTACTCACAGCATGGGTTTAAAGGCTTGGAGCTACAGTTTGACCTCCCAATGCCCTGCTTCCCCCAAATCTTTGCATCTCCCTTGCCAAGCATTCCAAGAAAACAACACTGCATGGGCAGCATCACATTCACCCCCTCCCTGCTAGCTTAAAAAACACCACTGCACGTTTCTTTTAGCCAAGAGCCGTTCTGGAGGATCACCAGCAGCTGCAGACCCGAAGCTCAGGGCTGCTGCTGCAGCCACGTCCCAGCCCTCGGGTCTGTGCCTCGGCCCCACGTCCGCCCCAGGCAGCACAGGGGCGGAAAATGGGGAAACCACAGAGCGATCGGCAGCTCAACCCTTCTTGCTCACACCTCCTCGTCACCCACTTGGTCTGTCTTGCTCACAGAAACACGCAGGCATCCATATACTTACTGCTGCCTGAAAAACATTTGTTCGAGCTGGAGCTCCTGGGAGGGCCAGGATGATTTTCACCGCAGTCTTGATAAAGGCATGAAACGAGAGAATCCAGCGGGGAGACCTACGGGGTGTTCTGGAAGCTGCTGGGCCTGCGTGCTGGCTCCACATCTCCTCTTCCACTGGCTGATGGTAGCGTCAGTGCTCAACAGTACTCATTTCAGTTAATTGCTATCTACCATTAGCTGCAGAGTACTTACAAGGGATTCAATTCCACTGCATATTTGCTAATAAATACCAAATGACAGCGAGGAAGACAGCTGTATTTAGTTGCATTTACCCTCTTATTAGCAGAGCTGAATACAACCCCATTTCAAGTCATAATGGCTCCGACAAGCTGTGTCATTGTCAGAAATTCAAATTCCAACTTCTGCTGCCTGCTTAAAAGCAGAAGTCAGCCAGCGTTCCCCTGCTCACACAGCTCCCCAGGGATCACGTGTAGGGTCTTGTGCAGCCAGGGCCATGAGGAATGACTTCCTCCAGGGCTTGGGTTCATAGGGACGGTGAGACCTGAAGGCACGTGGGATTTATTTGCTGTTTTAGTAGCATTTTGTGAAGCATTTATTCATGCTGAACTTGTACGTGTAGAGACGTTTTGATCAAAGGACTGCAAAAATAGTTACCATTGTGCCTTCATAAAATATTACCCGTTTTGTGCAAAAGGAAGCCAAAATCCAGCAAGGAACTTGCCCACAGTAAGTCAGTTGTAGAGGATGGACAGGAACCCATAAATTAACGTTACCATTAAGGTGTAAATGTCAATTTCAGCTCATCCTGGCTAACAGTTTCACTTGATACCCAGATCCAAAGCACTTAAACTAGATGTAAAAACTTCCCAGGATCTAGGAAAATGAAGATTGAGGAGATACCAGTTTGGGGAACAATTCATTAAAGCACGTTCTGATTCCCAACCTGAACAAATACAGGGAAACATATGAACTGATCAAGATGCCTCAGAAGAGGGACTGTGCAAGAGAATTCACTTTCAAGAAGTGAGAATGAATCTTTCTCATCCTGCTAAATCCTTCAAACGAACTCACTGATTTCAGCACAAGGAAAAACTTCCTGAGTTCTGCAAGAGCATTCTGCTCGCTTGTACGCTGCTGGGGCCCTCAATGAAATTAATCCATCACGCAGCAGTGAAACAACACTCCTGGGATGATTTCACCAGAAGTGAAGTGCTATTTCCCTCAGTCACTTCCAGAAACCAGAGGGCAACAGAGGACGCGCAGCCTGAATGGCTTTTCATTACAGCGTTACTTTGGCAGCCAGGTCACACACACATCCTCTCGCTGAAGTGTGTGCTCTGATTTAAATCCGCACCGCTCCTGCTACAACACACCCGGAGTTACAATCACGATGTGCGTCAGGAAAACAAATTTGTTTACAAGCAGTTGACTCACCAGCAGCCATACACCGAAGGCAGCTGACCAGCTTGATACCGTTTTTCTGGTGCTATTCACCTCCTTTCACCCACCAGCATATGGGGCACATTCATACCAGATTTGTTACTGAAAACGGATGGATTCTGGTTGGGGGGGGGGCTATTTTTTCTCATCCTGAAGCACTGCCCAGCCCCACACCTAATTCCTGGACCCCCCTGGCAGCAGGGCCAGGCTCGAGCCCACAGAGCCCCAGCCCACAGAGCCCCAGCTCACAGAGCCCCAGCTGCACGGGCTGAGGGGCCTTCGGAGACTTCCTATCCTCCACAACCAGACAACTTTTCTGAAGCTTTCTGAAGCCAAGGAAATCAGCCTGGTTTCCCCAGAAACGCAGAGGCCACGGGCCCAAGTCCTTCCTCAGCCTGAGCTGCCTGGAAGCCCCCTCAGCTGCAGCCCCCCTTCTCCTTCCTCCCTCCAGCTGCCAATTTCTCCTGCCTCAGAGCACCGACCGTGGCAGGAAAACAACTGCACAGTGACGAGATGCTGCCAAGTCCCAGCAAGGGCAGGAACACGGCGTGGTTAACCCCTGCCTGACAAAAGAAGCCCCCTCTGCCTGCTGCCCCAGCCGCCCCCATGCAGAAGGCCTCATCCTGAACCTGCCCCGTGTCCACCCAGCTCCAGCACCCAGGGGCTTCATGCCCTCACTGCCCTTGCTCCTGCCCACAGACCCAAGGCAGGACAAACAGATTATCATGGTGCAGGGTACAAGGCAATGGTAACGACGTTCACACCACAGTTTTCCTGCTGGCTCCTCAACACCTCACAGCCAAGCTGGTGCTGTTCCCTTCCCAGCTCCTCTGCTTCCCTCAGCCCCCAGCCAAGCATTCTGCACCTTTGGGATCCTCCTGAAGAGCCACCCAGGCGTCAAACCAGGGAGGCACTGAGTGATCACAGCTCACCGAGAGGCCTCAGAGCACTGCTCACACTTGAAAGGGGCCTGGATGTGCTCTCAGAAGCAGGAACAGCAGGAGCCAGACCCTCCTTTATGATCTGCAGAGCTCGCTGAGAAGCCATCAGCAGGAACAGAAGGATCAAGGCCATGAATTCAAACAGGCGACAATCCTTTTTTCAGACTCCCCCAGGTAAAGGCAATGAAGAGGGTAACACCAGGCCAGAGCACCCCAGCAGGACAGATCTT